TGCACATAGTACAAATGCAACATGAACGTTCGAAGAAAACTCAGGGAACACACAAACCTGTCCGACAACTGTTGCTGCTTGACCCGTGGTTTTCATCCGAAAGTGGATGACATAGGTTCAACGTGGATGTATGACTTCCCACCAAGTTTGCACTAGACGCTATGCGCTGCAATGTACGACGGTTATCTCTCTTTACAGGGTTATGTGCAAAAGCTTAGGAACACACACAATTTGAACTGCTAGAGTACAAGCAGCATGAGCATTCAAACAAAACGAAGGAAAAACACAAACCTGTCCGGCGACTGCTACTTCTTCATCGGGGTTTCCATCCAAAAACTGGAGGACATAGGTTCAACGCGTCTGCACGACGTCCCACCAAGTTGGCGCTCGATGTTGTGCGCTGCAATATACGGCGGCCATCCCTTTGTACAGGGCCTATGTGCAAAAGCATAGGACCACACAATTTGAACTGTCTATGTTCGAACAAAACGAAGGCTCTTCTCCACTGTCCTAGTGGTCAAGCCGTGCTGCCTCCAGAATTTCTTTCTCAGAGAGAATAATTCGTCGCGCATAAGCCACAACACTCAATAGTGGTCTCTCAAAAGAAATTATTGTTGTGTATTCAACAAAAGTTTCCTACATTCACCACAACATTTATTTTTCCTATACAATGTGCATCACCAAAATTCTCACCACAGAACACCTGAAAAAATCAAAATAGCGGCATATCTAACGGATTCAACAAATTACAGTGTCGTAAAATTACACAAGTATTACCTGGAAAAAGTAATCTTTAATAAGAGTCAGGGATTCCACAAAATGAAACAAAACCCATAATGAAGAATATAAAAATGTAAAAAGAAAAAGGATCAATGCGCCAATTTTGATGGGAATAATGACAAACCTAATCATCACTTGCTGAGGGGTTCTTGTAAAAATGGAATGCAGAGACAACGCACGTAGGCCAACCTCATCCCTTGGTTCATAGACCAGCCTCTGCTGGATCGGGCCCCGTAGGCCGTGTATGTGGGCCTCGTGACACCCGGACCCCTGAGCAACAATGGCACCTAACGTTGGCTAGAAGACCAGAATAAGCAGCATCTGGGCCTTTCCTGACCCTGCCTTTCTCATTATGTCGCCGGTGCTCTCTCTTTTCTGTGAAGGATTATCTTTCTAGACTAACATTTTCAAAACGCTCATCAAATTTTCCTTTATTGGAACACAAAATATAATAATAGGAAGAATTGGATGAATGCTATGAGCTTATCACAAAAATAAAAAATAAAAAATAAAAAATAAAAAAAAACATTAAAACGTAGATTAGGGATTCAATTTTGAACTATGATGATGATGGTTCAATTTCAAAACAAAATATAACCATCAGAAAATTGAACATAAATAAAAGCATTTGATACTGAAATAGAAGAATTACAAAGAAAAAATTTGTTTTATGCAATCATATTTCTTACTCAATTATGGTTCAATTTCAAAACAAAATATAACCATCAGAAAATTGAACATAAATGAAAGCAATTGATACTGAAATAGAAGTATAACAAAGAAAAAATATGTTTTATGCAATCATATATTATACTCAATGAAGATTTGTAATTATCCACATTGTATTATGACGCTAACCAGAAGTACCGCACAATATTCCCATGAATCATCTCTTTCAAAAGAGATCTCTCTCTAATAGTCATGCTAGGTCTGCCCTCATCTTCCTGCTCTAGCCTGATTTTCTTCAAGGCAATGGTTTTATTTCTCACTCGTGATCACGGGCCTTGTAGACCACTCCATACATCCCTTCACCAATCTTCTCGACCTTCATACTGCATTGGTAAATTGTCAAACATCATAATTCCATAAGTACCTAGTCCATTTAGCCAAGAACAGGAACCATCAAACATAGTTACATTTTTCACTTCAAAAGAAGATTAGACAATTTCAGAATAACTAAATAAGATAAAAAGATAATATAAAACTACTATACAAAATAAGATCATAAGAATCCACCAGATAATATACATCTATTGAACGTATGAGTAAAAGGCGTTTGCACATACTTGAAGCGGAGACAAACCGTGACAACAGTTCGTTTAAAATGGTTGAACAAAGGATTCGACAAATCTTCAAATAACTCGCAAAATCAAAACAAACCGATCAATCAACATTGTAAAACTAAGATCACATGCTTATAAGAAAATTTCGCTGATCATGTAAGT